TATTTGGTATAGATAAATTTATATCAAAGTATACAAATTTGATCAAATTCATTTGTATTTATCTCAGTTTGGTTTGCCCTATGACTCTTATTTAGAGGCGGTAACCACGATCTGAATGAAGCCGTGACCATATACTAGATTAACATATCATATAAATATTTATGTGTTTGCGTTTTTGTGTCTTTAATGAATTGTGTTGATAGGCATTGACAGTGCTATCCAGCAAGCATCATAATGTGTGCTAGTGAATTGTAATTTGTTAGTCTGCAAAGCTTGGTCATTGATATCAGTTGCAAATGCTATTAGATACGTATATTACATTGATTGGAGTATTTTAAAAACAGAGAAATTAAGATATGCTTATTTGAAACGGCATTTAGTTCAAATTAGTGTATGGATCGTAAACACCTGCTAAATGAATAAAACAGGCATCTTAAACAGAAGGTGGTATCAAAACCTTACATTTATGACGTCATAATAATGAAGGCGTCAGTTGCATGTACATGTGGGACATGGCATTTACAGGATATTTGGATGCCAACTGACTTTTGTAGGACTATATATTGGCGACGCCACACATTGGTACGTAAATAAAGAGGTTCCCAAACAAGTGATGATTGGTTGTCATTTTTATCTAATTTCAGCTAGTTAATCTTCAAATTGAATAAAACACGAGGTTACTGAACGTCTTTTTAACTTTGAAATTTAACTTACAAGAGTTGGATAAATATGATAATGAACCAACATGAGTTTGGAGACCTTTTTCTCCCACAACGTTCAAATATTGTATCGGGAAAACCGTGTATATCTTGTGAATATGTTTTATTCCTGTTTCTGATCAGAGAAAAAATAGCCATGAACTATGACGTCAGAAGAGAAGATGACGTTAAATGCATTGTTACCTAACGTCATAACTAGAAGATTGACCAATAAATTCTCGTTCAGTGTGTTACCCACCAAAAATGTTTTCCAACTCCTAGCAACTTTACCAAATGAGTCGGGAGTGAGAAAACCTATAGCGTTTGTGGGAAAAATAAGGGAATAACAAAATCAATATTAAGAAAAGGAAAATGGTCGGTAAAGACATTTTAAGTTACGTATCGAAATGATCAACACTACGGATATTTAATATATCATTTTCAATTTTCAATAAAATATAACTTATCTTGGCAAAAATAACCTGATGGCATACATGTACATGGGCAATATGAAAACTTTAAATCAAAATCTATGAGAAATTAACTTGAACGGTCCGTGATAAGTTATCTCGATACGTCGACAGACCTTTATCTCCACAGGTCGTTTTACGGTAACTCGAACTAAAATAACTAGGCGGCAGAAATATATCAACAAAGTTTACAGAATACGTACATCGTGATAAACATTAACATACAGGTGACGCACCACATATATACAGCAGGTGCAGTTAACGTCACATATATATATGCACGGGGTTGTATAAACCTTAATCAGGATAATTACAAAATTGTTTTTCGAAATATTATTAAAAATCTTACCGTCATTGGATTCGAAAGTCTCTTACTTTGATAATGCAAACAGCGTGAATTTATACTCTGGACAATTGTTTTACGACATTGACTAATTGACTGTGATTTAACTTACCATTTAGACATTAAAGCTTGTACAACCGGATGCTGCAGTATATTGTCTGGTCATGCATTAAGTGTGACTCTGGTTCCTTATATATCACCGTTGTGTAATACACAAATAAGCACTCCCTCTAAAGTCAAGTGAACGTTACACAGGACAGGTAAATATAGGCTTATATACCATTATGTTTCAGAATCTTAACTGATCAAATAACTTCACATCTAAGTAAATAATAGTTACCTATTCGTTATACTAACAAATAGTATCATACTCTGTTTTAATCTAATATTTTAGGCAATGTTATCGTTAGAGACTGAGCGCTGTATATTATATTTCAAATTAAAGCTGACTTTTCCGTTATTAATAATGTCACGAAACTTTACAAGAAAAAATAAGGTGACAGGTTTATCAATGTCATAATATAGTTACATGTAGACACAATTTGGCAGCAAAACCGAGAGAAGGTGGGATTTTTTTTAATATTTATAAAAATTTACATACAATCATCGATACATTTCAAAATATTTACAAAATCTATAATCAAAACGGAATGAAATTTATATTCGTTCAACTATACAAAAGTGGACTGTATAAGAGATATTTGCATTTCAATAGTACTGTATTTAATATATCTATTTACAAATTGATCACAGCTTGCCAACTCCTTCCACAATACTTCTTGGTGCGATACCCTATAGAGATCATTCAAAAAGAAAATCTGACATATTAAACAGTATTGGAAACAAAAGAAATCCTTATATGGTAATTAGTTACGTATAAAGCACTATTCAGTTGCATAAATTTTGTATTTATAAAAAGAAATTTAATAAGGCACTAAGTTGAACCCCACAGTTTACAATTTCCATTTTTATCGGCGAGGGCAGGTCAAAAACTAGAACGCCAATAGAGGAACAACTGACACATCACGCGCTATTACCGCACAAAGTCGAAAGATAAATCGAAGCTATCATATATCTGCATTAATTTACTTGTAAACTTCAGAAAATGTATTTATACATCTATATATATTCATCACCTTCATGTCAAATGATTTGGTCTTTGTACGGTTTAAATAGGTGAACCGAGGTAGCCCCCTAGGAAACATTGCGCATGTCAGTGAAGATATTTCAGTGGTCTCATATTTCTTTTTCAATATAAAATATTTTTGAGGCAGTGTGATAATCTTTTATCAAACACAATAAAAACCATCACGATTGGTGAAAATACAATTGTTTTGATTTTGTTTTTGATTTCATTTTGAGATAACCTGCTGTATCTACAACAACTTTTCTTCACTTATAGACTTTTGACTTTTCTTCTTTGTATACTACAATTTACCAAAACAAACAATTTTGTTTCGGTAAAGACGAACAAGAATTATTGCAAACTATTTTTGGGTCGTTTTCTGGGAAAACAATGACAGAAGACAAAACGAGATACAACGAAGAGGAGTTCGTGAGAACAATGGATTCCTGCATGACAGTATATTTGTTGGCAAGGTGTTCCAGTCGGCTTTTGGCAATATCAATTTTTTTTTAATATATTTTTTTTCCCCACAAGTTTTCAGATTTTGGCAATATCATGTTAACAAACTGCACTCCTCTCCTGGCCGACTGTTTATATTTTTTATGAGTAATTAGGACAGATTAAGGGAATTTCCATGTACTAGTTCTTGGGGTTTTCGGATAACTATGATATTTTTGGTTTGTAGGGTGTTACAACATGTTGTCGACGTGTCGCGATAATTTATAACTATTTACAAACTTTACTGAATTTGATGGCATATCTTGGTGTTATAGCAATTTTAAGTTGACATCCGTGACAATTAATCGTGACTAGTCGTGATAAACTATCGCGAAACTTCGAAAAAAAAAAAATTGAAATGTTGCGTTATTTTAATCAAATAACGATCTTTTCGGTCTTTTTTCTCTCTAAACGACGTGAAACCGTAGTGCAAACTACAATAACTGGATGGCAGAAATATGTCACCATATGATACAACAACGAACATTGTGATCAACATCTACATACAGGTGACGCATTACAGATATACAGCTGATAACAAATGTACATGTACAGTATATACATATCGACTGAACTGTCTCAAGCTTAATCAAGATTATCCAAAATCTGGTTTTCCGAAATATTCTTGTATTTATTAAAAGACTCCTGTCATTGGATTCGAAAGTACGACATTTTTCTAATATCAACACCATATATACATATACCTGGCCATATTTTAACAGTCATTGACTCTGAGTTATCTCCTCAGATAGGTTATTCACCTGAGGTACATACTTTGTGTTCACGCGAGTCCAACATTCGATTTGACCCTAGATTATTATCTGTGGTATAAATTACAGGTGACATCCATGTTCATTTGCACCATGCACCGAAAAGGTAAATGTACAATCATAATTTATAATGATACATGTAGCTGAATCAAATCTTGTTGTATCTAAGTAAAAAATAATATATTTATTACGAATTCGAAAAAAAAACATAATCATACTCTTTTAGTCTAAATATTAGACAATTTATTGTGAGCTTTAGAGACTGAACTCTGCATTTTACATTACTAATTTTACTAATTAATAACAGCTTGCCAATATTTTCCTCGATACTTTGATTTGACGAACGCATTAAATTGTTCTTAGTCCCCTAGAGATAATTCACAAAGATTATCTAACATATCGACACTTTTCAAAACAAAAAGAAAGTTTCCTACGGTAATAGGATGTAACTGTGTTTATTTATATAATTACTATGACATCGATATCAAAAAAGTTGGTACCGTTTAAAGAGGTAAGGGAGAGCGAAGTAAACATGTAGAAAAGTTTACACATATCAGTGCATGTATTCGTCTTTTTTTTCAAAATTAAGCATGATTAAGGAAGTTTGGTGATAATGTATTAAAAGTCATGTTAGCTTTCACGACTGATGAAAATGTAGTTGTTGTTTTATCATAAAGTAACATTTGATCACAGATCTGTGTGGGTGTTGTTTTAACACTATAGCCTTAATGCTGGCTATCTCAAGAATGTTCAAGTCATTTTCTCGATAATACAAAAAAATGCCACTTGGGTACGAACACAAACATCGTCAGATCAAATGTCTTTTCAGAAAGAAAAAAGAAACAAAAGGATGGTCATAGTTTTCATTGTTCTTGATATCTCTTTTCAAGAAAGAAAAACGCAAAAAAAATATATATATATATGATATTTTCACAAAATAATTTTACATTGGTTATAATTTACATTGCTCGTGATTTCTCTTTAAAACAACAAGGACAAAATATTTCCTTTTAAAATGTGTGTGGTTTCTCAGCTCTTGCATTTCTCCAGCATGTCCTTGGTTCAATCATTATGAAGACCTGTCTCCTATTTTAGGGATTACGATGAGAACAACTCTGCTGTTGTACACAGTGTTCGTCATGCTGGGAGTTCACCTTGCAGTCAGCCAACAATCCGACGAAGGACCGTGTCAAACGATCACAGTAAGTCTAATTACCTACATTTTACGATTCTTTCTTTCTATCAAACCATTTTTTCTTTAATTTAAGTGAGTAATTTGTTACATTGTTATATTTGTTTGTTTGTTTAAGCGGGTTTACCTCCGTTTCACTACCAAATAGTTCGGTTTTCCAGCAGACAAAAGCACAAGTCTGCTTGATCCACAATTTTAATGATAACCTGGTTTTATATTACCTGCCGACATACTGATAATCAGTCATGTTAAATCAGGCTTCTGTACACAAACAGGATAGGACAGAACTCAAGGTCACTATACATATGTGTATGTGTGAAGCGGCAAAGTACTGTTAACTGATATTTTATGTCAAATTTTAACATTTTAAATATCAGTTTTATGGTAAAAATGTTCATAAGTTATATCCGATAGCCATAAATACATGAAATGCATTTGTTATATTCACACTAAACCAACCAATCAGATAATAGAGTTTATAGTGAAAATGATAACAACGTGTATTGTCAATTATGATGTCACAATAGTCATGACTTATTCTTACTGAAATGTCGGTTAAATATCCTTTAAGTTGTATCGAAGATGGAAATTTCCTCAAAATAAACCTATGTTTGATTTTAAGAAACAAATAACAAAGAGAATAATTCTGGTTTCGGTATCAATTACACTTATATTACTAGAGGAATGTGTTCTTTTCACTCATGTGACTCACTTGCGGAAAATATCAATCACTCATCCAACTCGTGAAATATTCTTGTCATTCAATAAGACAAGAAGAATATCTTATATCGTTATTGTTTATGGTTTTAAAACACGTTGGTGTAATAACAAATATATTTGTTTCCACATAAAGTACGTAATTTCGGATCGATCTATAATTTACTTTACCTCACTACCGAAATCTTTGACAAATGTGCCATCTTTAATTTGAAAAAAAGCACATCTAACATTTTTCGAATATTAGCATAGGTACAATATAAAGCGCACATGTAAACTTCCAGCCTCTCCAAACATGTACACTCCCAGCCTCTCCAAACATGTACACTCCCAGCCTCTCCAAACATGTTCCTCAATTTCACAATTGTGACACTTTAAAATACCATCATCTCTAAAATACTTACTTCAATTTCTAAATGGTAGCAAAGGTAAAATACCAGTCTTTCCTGTTTGTATACTTTAATTCCATAAACATTTAATGTAGTACGTGTAAAATACCAATCTCTTCTGTTTATATACTTAAATTTCGAAATCATTCATTATATCACTTGTAAAATACCAGTCACTCCTGTTTATATACTTCACTTTCACAACTATATCACATGTAAGTCGCTAGGCGCGGCTTATTATTCCATTTATAGCTTTATTACAGCTTTGAATGAAAATGTCCTCCTTTTCAACATTTGAGGCGGTCTGAATTTCGTTTAACCACAAAAGACTTCTGATCCGATTTTGCTTCTGAGCCAATTTTTACACCGTTTTAGAAGTTTCGTTTTTCCTTAATAATAAATGCATGTACCATTAAAAAGTGAACACGCTTGCCTTATTTTATGACAATGTATCATAGATACAGAAATATAACATAAATCAGTTATGGATGGCGTCTAGCAAAATGATTCAGTGTAACATTTCCTTATACAGGTACCGCTGTGTTCTACGATGCCTTACAGTCTGGCGTTCATGCCGAACAGATTTGGACACTCCCACATGGACGATGCTGGAATGGTAGTACATCAATTCTATCCTCTAGTTAAAGTAAATTGTAGTGCAGCCCTGAAGCCCTTCTTATGCGCAGCCTATTTCCCTAAATGCAGCGCAAGGGGAGGGGGACTCGAACCATGTGCCCGACTCTGTAGAGAAGCCAAGAATGGCTGCGCGCCACTAATGAACAGATACGGATTTCAGTGGCCAGATACTCTAGATTGCCACTTATTTTCAGAAAACTATCGGTGTTACGATATAGAATGATATGTTATGTTATTCAACTAATTTTCGCTATTTCGCATTTGTACGCAATAGGCCAGAAATGACTTTTGTTTTTTATTTACGCGATTGTAATTTATATAGGATTTCTTAAATATCGGAAGTGCTTTTGCTATTCTCTGGCAGAGATGGAACTTGTGCCATTACTCACAGTACGTGTTTGGTTTGGAAAGCGCAACAAAGATTGCGTCTCTGACCGGAGAGATCATGTGGTGATAAAACGTGACAGACTTCTGTTAACACTGTAGAAGCGTTTGATATCGTGCTTGAACATTTTTACTGCACTGTATGGCCATTTCACCAATTTAGGAATTTTCAGAGATGCTTAAAGTCAAAAGATTAAACATCTATGTATCATATGTTCCATAACATTTGTTTGAAATAGCAAAAGAAAAAGCTGTAATAAATTACTTTTGATCTTTTATTTCTCAGCCGTGCTTTTTAGACTGATATTTATCAACAGGTGATCCCTGGTTCGAATCCCGGTCTGGCAGTTTTTCCTTTCCATTTGCATTTGGCACCCAACTAAATATTCCCAAGGTGAATGGTATGGAGTATCGTGTGTCTTAGTGTCGAAGACTTTATTGAAGGCGGAAGGAACGTAACATAACCAGTCATGGTCGATAGCCGTCGGCTGGGTACCTCAATTAATTAGAGTTTCTGTCCAGGGCTACATAAAGAAGCTTTCAGGCTCGAATCCTGTTAAACCTTAGACATATTCGACCTCATGCCCGATGTGTCTGAAGTCTAACCTTGTGTCTCAAAAAATGAGAAGAGTACCGCAGGATCTGACACACTAAACGCCCATCAAATGTCGTAGGGCACCTATCTATATACATAATGTAACTAAATGTTTTTCGTTAAAATGACGATAAATACAGAAAGGGCCTAAACTCCATATATACATTGTATATGGTTCCAAAACCCTATTTCAGTGATCTTGACGGCTGATACAGGGTAACAAGCTCCTGTAGGTACTGAGGAGCTGTTCTATTCAGTGCCTTGTATGTGTATACCAGAATTTTGTACTGCGACCTGTATCGTACTGGTAACCAGTGCAACGAATAAAGCGCAGGTGTGATGTGCTCTCTCTTTCGAGTACGAGTAACTAGCCGTGCTGCAGTGTTCTGGACCCTCTGCAGACGACTAGTTAGTTTGTCAGATATAGCACAGAGCAGGGCGTTACCATAATCCAACCGAGAGGTAACAAGTGAATGCACCAAAATCTGCACTACAAAGGTAAAGGTATAACAGGTCCATTTAAGTGCAACAGTATTTGAAGTTATACTCCCTTAGTTTCATATAGCTTAAAGCCAAAGTAGGGGATATAGTATTTGGCTATTAACACTAGAGTCAAATCATATACAAAAGTAGCAAAAAGGCAAAGTAGGGAATATAGACTGTGGCAATAAGCACTCGAGTGACACCATTTAGCGTAACGTCAAAGTAGGGATATAGTCTGTGGTAATTAACACTCGAGTCACATCATCTAGCGTAACGTCAAAGTAGGGATATAGTCTGTGGCTATTAACACTAAAGTTGAATCATATAGTGTAAAGTAAAAGTAGGGGATATAGTCCCTGGCTATTAATACTAGTTTCGCATAACATAATCTGTAATTTACAGGTACAGACAGCCATCTATGATTTAAAGGTACAGACAGTCAGGTAAAGACAGACATCTGTGATTTACAGGTACAGACAGACATATGTGATTTACAGGTACAGACAGACATATTAGACCTATAGATACAGACAGACATCTGTGATTTACAGGTACAGACACATCTGTGATTGAAAGGTACAGACAGACATATAAGAATTACAGGTACAGACAGACATATAAGATTTACAGGTACAGACAGATATCTGTATTTTACAGGTACAGACAGACATCTGTGATATACAGGTACAGACAGACATCTGTGATATACAGGTACAGACTGACATATAAGTTATACAGGTACAGACTGACATCTGTGATTTACAGGTACCACAGACATATGTGATTTACAGGTAGAGACAGACATCTGTGATATACAGGTACAGACAGACATCTGTAATATACAGGTACAGACAGGCATATATGATTTAAAGGTACAGATAGACATATCAGATTAACAGGTCCAGACAGAAATATGTGTTTTACAGGAACAGTCAGATAGATGTGTTTTACAGGTACAGAGAGACATCAGTGATTTAAAGGTACAAACAGACAAATGTGATTTACAGGTACAGACAGACAAATGTAATTTACAGGTACAGACAGAAATATGTGTTTTACAGGTACAGACATACATCAGTGATTTAAAGGTACAGACAGACATACAAGATTTACAGGAACAGACAGACACCTGTGATTAACAGCTACAGACAGACATCAAAGATGTACAGGTACAGACAGAAATATGTGTTTTACAGGTACAGTCAGACAGATGTGTATTACAGGTACAGACAGACATCAGTGATTTAAAGGTACAAACAGACATACAAGATTTTCAGGTACAGACACACATATGTGATTTACAGGTACAGACAGACATCAGTGATTTACAGGTACAGACAGACATATTAGATTTATAGATACAGACAGACATCTGTGATTTACAGGTACAGATAGACATCTGTGATTGAAAGTTACAGACAGACATATAAGATTTACAGGTACAGACAGACATATAAGATTTACAGGTACAGACTGACATTTGTGATATACAGGTACCACAGACATATATTATTTACAGGTACAGAAAGACATCTGTGATATACTGGTACATACAGACAAATAAGATTTACAGGTACAGACAGACATCTTAGATATACAGGTACAGACAGACATCTGTGATTTACAGGTACAGCAGACATATGTGATATGCAGGTACAGACAGTCATCTGATATTTACACGTACAGACAGACATCTGAGATATACAGGTACTGACAGACATCTGTGATATACAGGTACAGACAGTCATCTGAGATTAACAGGTACAGACAGACATCTATGATATACAGGTACAGACAGACATCTGTGATTTACAGGTACAGACAGACATCTGTGATTTACAAGTTTGACAGACTTGTAGTCCAATCGGGAAATGAAGATACCAAGATAATTCTCAGGACAATAGATTTTGCTGTTACAATCACAAACGCCCCTGTTAGATTTGGAAAATATCAGCCTGTTAAAAGTTTGTAGATGGGCAGATAAACGGACAGCCAGATTATCAAGATAGGGTATCAGTTTCTGTTATTTCAAGCCCGAAAAAAGAAATACCTCTAAAATAGCAACCGGATAAGTTGGTAAGATATTATGATAAAAGGATTTTTTGGAGTTTAAGTAATGTTTGGCAGCAGCTAGGTTTCTAAAGATACATTTGTATAAACGACGTGTGTCACAGAGGTCAAATATCAGAGAATATATATGTAACATGTTGTAACAATACATAAACACTCGTCCCTGCCAAAGCTCTAAATATTGTCGAACCGCTTGCTTAATTAAAAGATGACCGGTCATAACAGATTTGTTTAGATTCAAACTATATCTGACAGTATTGCAAATTCATTGTTAAATTAAAAAGTACACATAAAACCTTTTTTGGTGTTTTTTTGTTTTTTCATTGTGCTCAGATATAGGCTCTTTTTCCTTTATAGTTCTCCAGATTTCATATATCACATTATATGATAATATTAAGTAAATATATAGACACATATATTGTCACAATGTGAATGCATTCACATCCCTTATTTTTTGTTACTTAACACATTTCACATTTCATCAGTCCGATTTACAAAAAACAAAGACAGTATCGCACACTACCTTCTCACCTGTGCACGTTCACCAACATTATGTACATTACAAACACACGCGTAACGGAATGATAACAATTAAATATCGTCTGTAATTACAAACACCAATACACACACACCATTCCACGCACGCACACACACACGCACGCAAACACATAAATGTATGTGTATGCGTGTGTGCACATGTGTGTGTACATGTGTGAGCGTGTGTATGTACTCACACACACACACACAGATATATTACTCAAAATGTTCATATGTTCACACACACACACCATTTTTACCTCGGTATGTAGCATCCACAAACACACACCAACACACACACACACATACTAACACAAACTCATCCCTTGAATACACATTTACATGGTTACATGCAAATCCTGTCCATACTATTTTAATTTACACATTTTTACCCAGAAATCGTAACTTTAGGTTCTTAGCACCTTGAGCCTTCAGTATTATCATCATTGCACCTTTTTTATTTATTCTTTTCACTGTTTTTTACACGTTTTATACCATTACTCGTTCAAAGACTTTGCTATACCTTTTAATAATTTAATATCTCTATATCTCTGTAGTAGTAGCTTTCTCTCAGGTATATTTTAAATAAATATACAATCGAGCAATTGCCAACCCTTCTATTTGAAATGTGGTAATGTTTATATATTATATAACCAATCGAGACATAAGAATTTAAAAAAATGTGTACTTCATGTCAACAATCTTATATCCTACCTCAATGTAATACATATTTCTTAACTGAACATTGTAATTATGTTTTCGTAGAAGCTCATTGATTAAATTCCACAATGATTCTACGCATTGACATTCAATAAAATAGTGCATATAATCATCCTTAACTTTACATATGCAATATTTTTCATCATCCATAATATTCCATCTTTTAAGTAAGATTCTATTTTGAAGAATATTATTGAATAGCTTCCATTTGAACATTTTTACGTCATTCTAAATTATAACATTATTGATAACTTCATAAAATCCATAAAAAACCAAACCACTACTTTCTATCTCAAACAGACCTTCCAACATATCTCTACAGTATGAAGTGGATTTCTTTTTTCTTATAAATGCCAAATACAGAAACTTATTATTCACCTTATCTATTTTAACACCAACTCCTTTAGCAAAGACAAATAGATCAGTGTTAGTTTGTGCATTTACCCCTGCATTATCTCCCTTGATATTTTCCTTCCATTCTTTTGGAATAGCTTTCTTTACCTGAATTACCTCACTTATAGAGTCACTTGTTTCTTTTAACTGTTGGTAAATTTTAATTTCATTTATAACGCCATCATTATCTAGTATATCGTTTTAAAAAATTAAATCAAATTCAATACAGTTCTTAAAAATTAGCGAACTTCCATTTATTCTGATATATTTGTTTCCCCAAATGATCTCCCGACGAATATCCTTATAAACATAATCAAAGACCGGTGTATTATTTTTTCTAAGTTTCAACCATGACTGTAGGATACCAATGTAAAATTGTGGTACATCATGTTTTGGAAAGTTACGTATGTGTCCAGTGGACATAAGAAACAGCATACTGGCGCCACCGAGCTTTTCTAAATAATAATTTAACCTATAATCTCAACTTATATATAGTGTACGGAAAGGTATAAAGACCTTTCTCTGTTTCTACCATTACAGGTAAATAATATAACTAATTCCTCAACGTGACGCTCTGATGTGTCGAAACAGTATTGTCTATAAATAACAAGATATTTTATTTACAACATCGATCATATATACCTTCTGAACCTGCAGTCAAGGACAGCGCGAGAGATTGTTATTTTCATTTTGTGAACTTTCACTTTCTTAAAAGTAATATCCAGATATCCCCGCCTACAGTGAATGGTGTTTCCCAGTTCCAACTGATTCAGTATTCGATATCTTGCTCTTATTATTACGATTTCTATGATGTATGTCGACTCATGACGGATATCTTAACAACATATTGTTTCGAAAGAAGCAGTTTGATTAAGCATGATGGCCCGATTAAATGGTCGCCATCATGATCGCCTTAGGAAATATTCTTTTTTATTTTGTGAATTTGTGTGACGATTAAAGTCGATGAAGCAGAAGAACCTTATCCTACCATAGCACCTGATCAGTTTTTTGTTTTATATTTTTAACCCCCTAAGCGGCACAAAGCGCCGCGAAGTTTGATCAGTAAACACTTTGTCTAATCAGAACGTTACTTTCTATTCACGACGTAGAATTTCAGTTTGAAGTTCAGATGAAGCGACGTTAGAATAAGAGTTTGTTTTTATGCGCCTCTGCAACGTAAAATATAACGCTTCGAATTCCAGTAATTAAACATGTATATTTTCGCGCCTTGGATTAATTATTGAGTGACAATAGTGCAACATGTGAGGATATTGAGCGTGAACAAAGCATATTTTCTTGTGAGATTCTGATAACGATCATGAAACGTGGCCATAGTCTTCATAAATCTGCATCTGGGGAAACCCTGTGTTGAAAGTATGTCCGGCAGCAATCGACATTTATCACAAAAGTCATGATATTTGGCCAAACTCCTTGAACACCGAATCAACTGCAACATGTAAACACAGTAGGTAGTGGAAGCAGGGATAATTTTATCAAGAAAAGGAAAGTTCCAGATCGAAAGTCGACATTCTAGCCGCTTATCATACAGCTTAGTATTAATTCGTCCCTGTTGGTCTTGTTGTAAAAGAAAAGATCGAGAAAAGCCGCTGAAGTTGAAGAGTCTTGCGTCCTTAATTTTAAGCTCTGGCATATGCGATCGATGTTGTAAATGAGTTCCTTGTTATTCAAAGACAGCACTTCGCTGATTTATCTGAATGTAAAATTGAAGCATTTGGCAAGGTTTTTGTTAAAAGTCCTAAAAAGCTTAGCAATTAATTTACCTTCATATGAACAAAGAAACAAATCGGCCAGAAGAGGAGCACAGCTAGGTTCGATGGGAACGCCTACAGTCTGCTTGACAATCTTGTCACCGAGCTCAATAAAAAAGTGTCAACCAAGAACTCAGTCATTCTTACAATATCTTCCTCATTTATATTTCAATTGGACTTTGTTTTAATTTTTACGAATTAAAATCCAAAATAATACTCAACCATATATTTATATCACTGTACGTCTTTCTGTGAAAAAGAAACACGATCTTCGTCCCGCAAATATGGCTGTTCCGCCAATGGGTAAAGCAGATCACAAAGAACAATAGAATGAAATTGTCTTTGTTGTTTTGAACATCACTATGATGACTGAATTGTATATTTTAACATTGATGATAGTATACAACAGATTTCGGTAATTCCATGTAATAATTCTTGGGATTATCGGATAACTATGATATTTTTGGTTTGTAGGGTGTTACAAAATTTTGTCGACGTGTCGCGATAATTTATAACTATTTACAAAACGTATTGAATTTGATGGCATATCCTGCCGTAATAGCGATTTTAAGTTGACATCCGTGACAATCAATCGTGACCAGCCGTGATAAATGATCGCAAAACTTCGACAAAAATTTGAGAAAGACCCGTGTTTTTAATCAAATAACACTCTTTTCGGGGTTTTTTTTCGTGAAACCGTAGTGCAAACTACAATAACTGGATGGCAGAAATATGTCACCCTATGATACAACAACGAACATTGTGATCAACATCTACATACAGGTGACGCACCACAGATATACAGCTGATAACAAATGTACATGTACAGTATATACATATAGATATGTCTAGACTGAACTGTCTCAAGCTTAATCAAGATTATCCAAAATCTGGTTTTCCGAAATATTCTTGTACTTATTAAAAGACTCCTGTCATTGGATTCGAAAGTACGACATTTTTCTAATATCAACACCATATATACATATACCTGGACATATTTTAACAGTCATTGACTCTGAATTAACTCCTCAGACAGGTGGTACACCTGAGGTACATACTTTGTTTTCACGCGAGTCCTGCATTTAATTTGACCCTAGATTATTATCTGTGGTATAAATTACAGGTGACATCAATGTTCATTTGCACCATGCACCGAAAAGGTAAATATACAATCTTAATTTATAATGATACATGTAGCTGAATCAAATCTTGTTTTATCTAAGTAAAAAATTGTATATTTATTACGAATTCGAAAAAAAACCCATTATCATACTCTTGTAGTCTAAATATTAGACAATTTTATTGTGAGCTTTAGAGACTGAACTCTGCATTTTACATTACTATTGATGCCGTTTCTTTATTTACTCATTTGCGTCTGCTGTAACTAATACATATTTCATGGTATAAACACAAACAAGAAAGCATGGGAGTGGTATCAACGTCATAATTTAGTTTGACTCTATTTTGAAGCAAATTTTATAAAAAGTGAACATGTTTGACAAACATTGATCGATTTCTATATTTGTAAATATTTACAATTTTTTTAATAAATATTATGACTTTATATGAGTTAAATAATGGGGATTTTACTGTTTTTATAAATCTCTACAATTTCAACCGTGATAGTTGATCTATTTTACTAATTAATAACAGCTTGCCAATATTTTCCTCGATACTTTGATTTGACGAACGCATTAAATTGTTCTTAGTCCCCTAAAGATAATTTACAAAGATTATCTGACATATCGACACTTTTCAAAACAAAAAAGAAAGTTTCCTGCGGTAATAGGATGTAACTGTGTTTATTTATATAATTACTATGACATCGATATCAAAAAGGTTTGTACCGTCGGTTAAAGAGGTAAGGGAGAGTGAAGTAAACATGTAGAAAAGATTATACATATCAGTGCATGTATTCGTCTTTTTTTTTCAAAATTTAGCATGATTAGGGAAGTTTGGTAATAATGTATTAAAAGTTATGTTAACTTTCACGATTGATGAAAATGTAGTTGTTTTATCAAAAAGTAGCATTTGATCACAGATTAGTTTGGGTGTTTTTTTTAACACTATATTCTTAATGCTGGCTATCTCAAGAATGTTCAAGTCATTTTCTCGATAATACAAAAAATGCCTCTTTGGTACGAGCACAAACATCCTCGGATCAAATGTCTTTTCAGAAAGAAAAAAGAAACAAAAGTATGGTCATAGTTTTCATTGTTCTTGATATCTCTTTTCAAGAAAGAAAAACGCAAAAAAAAACGCAAAAAATATTATATTTTCACAAAATAATTTTACATTGGTTATAATTTACATTGCTCGTGATTTCACTTTAAAACAACACCAGCATGTCCTTGGTTCAATCATTATGAAGATCTGTCTCCTATTTTAGGGATTACGATGAGAACAACTCTACTGTTGTACACAGTGTTCTTCCTGCTGGGAGTTCACCTTGCAGTCAGCCAACAATCCGACGAAGGACCGTGTCAAACGATCACAGTAAGTCTAATTACCTACATTTTACGATTTTTTCTTTCTATTTTTTTTTTTTTTTTTTTTAATTTAAGTGAGTAATTTGTTACATTATTATATTTGTTTGTTTGTTTGTTTTAGCGGGTTTACCTCCGCTTCACTACCGAATAGTTCGGTTTTCAAGCAGACAAAAGCACAAGTCTGCTGGATCCACAATTTTAATGATAACCTGGTTTTATATTACCTGCCGACATACTGATAATCAGTCATGTTATATCAGGCTACTGTACACAAACAGGAAAGGACAGAAATCAAGTTCACTATACATGTGTATGTTTGATACTGTTAACTTATATTTATCTCAATTTTTTATTCGTTAAATATGAGCTAATGGTAAAATTGAAGCACTCATAATTTATATTCCATAGCCATAAATACATGTAATGCATTTGTTATATTCACACTTAACTAACCAATCAGATAATAGAGTTTATAGTGAAAATGATAACAACGTGTATTGTTAATCAAGATGTCACAATAGTCATGACTTATTAATACTGAAATGTCGGTTAAATATCCGTTATTTTCTATCGAAGATGAAAATTTCTTCAAAATAAACCTATGTTTGATTTTAAGAAACAAATATCAAAGAGAATAAGTTTCTTTTTTTCATAAATAACATTTATATCACTAAGAGGGATGTGTTCTTTTCACTTATGTGAAGCACTTACGGATAATATCAATCACTTATTCCACTCGTGAAATATTCTAGTCATTCAATAAGACAAGAAGAATTTCTTATAGTGTTACTGTTTATTGTTTCAAAACACGTTGCTGTAATAATACGTATATTTGTTTTCACATAACGTACGCAATTTCGGATCGATCTATAAATTACATTACCTCACTACCAAAAACTATGATAAACGTGCCATCATTAATTTGAAAAAAGGAAATCTAACATTTCCCCAATCTTAGCATAGGTACAATCATAGGCCGCGAATGTAAACTCCCAGCCTCTCCTAATCATTTACCCCAACTTCAAAATTGTGACAATTTTAAAACACCATTATCTCTAGAATACTTACTTCAATTTCTAAATGGTAGTAAAGGTAAAATACCAGTCTCTCCTGTTTGTATACTTTAATTCCATAAACATTTAATGTAGTACGTGTAAAATACCAATCTCTTCTGTGGATGTGCTTAAATTCCAAAATCATGCAATATATTACATGTAAAATATCAGTCACTCCTGTTTCTATGCTCCACTTTCACAACCATATCATATGTAAGTCGCTATGCGCTGCTTTTGATTCCATTTATAGCTTAATTACAGCTTTGGATGAAAAATTTCCTCCTATTCAACAATTATTGAGGCGGTCTTGATTTCTTTTACCACAAAAGACTTCTGATCCGATTTCGCTGCTGAGCCAATTTTAACATCGTTTTAGAAGTTTCGTTTTTCCTTAATAATACTTGCATGTACCAAAAGTGAATACGTTTGCCTTATTTTATGACAATGTATCATAGATAAAGAAACATAACATAAATCAGTTTTTGATCGCGTCTAACAAAATGATTCAGTGTAGCATTTCTTTGTACAGGTATCCATGTGTTCTACGATGCCTTACAATCTGGCGTTCATGCCGAACAGATTTGGACAATCTAGAATGGACGATGCTGGACTGGAAATACATCAATTCCTTCCTCTAGTTAGAGTACATTGTAGTGCAGCCCTGCTGCCCTTCTTATGCGCAGCATATTTCCCTAAATGCAGCGCAAGGGGAGGGGGACTCGAACCATGTGCCCGACTCTGTAGAGAGGCCAGGAATGGCTGTGAGTCACTAATGAACAAGTTTGGATTTCAATGGCCAGTTGCTCTAGATTGCGACTCTTTTTCAGAAAACTATCGGTGTTACGATGTAGAATAAAAATATCGTAATGTTATTCAATTAATTTTCGCTATTTCACATTTGTACTCAATAGGCCACAAATGTCTTTTGTTTCTTAATTACGCGATTGTAATTTAAATAGGATTTCTTAAATATCGGAAATGCTTTTTGCTCTTCTCTGGCAGAAAAGGAACTTGTGCCATTACTAACAGTACGTGTTCTAGGTTTTGGAAAACACAACCAAGATTGCGTCTCTGACCGGAGGGATCATGCGGCTGATAAAACGTGACAAACTTCTGTTAACACTGTAGAAGCGTTTGATATCGTGCTTGAACATTTTTACTGCACTGTATGGCCATTTCACCAATTTAGGACTTTTCAGTGATGCTTTAAGTCAAAAGATTGAACATCTATGTATTATATGTTCCATAACATGTGTTTGAAACAGCAAAAGAAAAAGCTGTAATAAATTACTTTTGATCTTTTCTTTCTATGTCGTGCTTTTTAGACTGATATTTATCAACAGGTGATCCCTGGTTCGAATCCTGGTCTGGCAGTTTTTCCATTTCATTTGCATTTGGCACCAACTAAATATTCCCAAGGTGAATGGTATGGAGTATCGTGTGTCTAAGTGTCGAAGACTTTATTGAAGGCGGAAGAAACGTATCAGAACCAGTCGTGGTCGATAGCCGTCGACTTGGTACCTCCATTAATTAGAGTGTCTGTCCAGGGCTACATAAAGAAGCTTTCAGGCTCGAATCCTGTTAAACCTTAGACATATCCGACCTCATGCCCGATGTGTCTAAAGTCTAACCTTATTCTCAAATAATGAGAAGAGTACCGCAGGATCTGACACACTAAACGCCATTCAAATGTCGTAGGGCACCTATTTAGATACATAATGTAACTAAATCGTTTTCGTTGAAATGACGATAAAGACAGAAAGGGCAACAACTCCAGATACACATTGTATATGAATCCAAAACCCTATTTCAGTATATAATACCTCAAAGGTATAACAGGTCCATTTAAGTGCAAAATAATTTTCAGTTATACTTTTTTATATAGCGTAAAGCCAAAGTAGGGGATATTATATTTAGCTATTAACACAAGAGTCAAATCATATACAAAAGTAGCAAAAAGTCAAAGTAGGGATATAGTCTGTGGTTATTGACACTCGAGTGACATCATCTAGCGTAACGTCAAAGTAGGGGATATAGCCTGTGGTTATTAACACTCGGGTGACATCATATAAAGTAACGTCAAAGTAGGGGATTTAGTCTGTGGTTATTAATTATATAACACTCGAGTGACATCATCTAGCGTAACGTCAAAGTAGGGATATAGTGTGTGGTTATTATCACTCGAGTCACATCATTTAGCGTTAAGCAAAAGTACGGGGAAATAATCTGTGGCTATTAACACTAACGTTGAATCATATAGTGTAAAGTAAAAGTAGGGGATATAGTCCCTGGCTTTTAACACTAGGTTCGCATAACATAATCTGTAATTTACAGGTACAGACAGTCATCTGTGATTTACAGGTTAAGACAGACATATGTGATTTACAAGATACAGACAAACATATAAGATTTACAGGTGCAGGCAAACATATGTGTTTTACAGGTACAGTCAGACATATGTGATTTAAAGGTACAGAGAGACATATAAGATTTACAGGTGCAGACAGACATATAAGATTTACAGATACAGACAGACATCTGTGATTTACAGGTACAGACAGACATCTGTGATTGAAAGGTACAGCCAGACATATAAGATGTACATGTACAGACAGACATATAAGATTGACAGGTTCAGCCAGACATCTGTGATATACAGGTACATACAGACATCTGTGATATACTGGTACAGACTGACATATAAGATATACAGGTACAGACTGACAACTGTGATTTACAGGTACAGACAACCATATGTGATTTAAAGGTACAGACAGACAAATAAGATTTAAAGGTACAGACAGACATATAAGATTTACAGGTACAGACTGACATCTGTGATTTACAGGTACCATAGACATATGTGATTTACAGGTACAGACATACATATGTGATATACAGGTACAGACAGACATATAAGATTTACATGTACAGACAGACATATGTGATTTACAGGTACAGACAGACATATAAGATTTACAGGTACAGACAGACATATAAGATTTACAGGTACAGACAGACATCTGTGATTTACAGGTACAGACTTACATATGTGATATACAGGTTCAGACAGTCATCTTAGATTTACAGGTACAGACACACATCTGTGATATACAGGTACTGACAGACATCTGTGATATAATGGTACAGACAGACATCTGAGATATAGGTACAGACAGACATCTGTGATTTACAGGTACAGACTTACATATGTGATTTAAAGGTACAGACAGATATATAAGATTTACAAGTACAGACAGACATCTGTAATTTACAGGTACAGACAGACATCTGTGATATACAGGTACATACTAACATATAATATATACAGGTACAGACTGACATCTGTGATATAATGGTACAGACAAACATCTGTGATATAATGGTACAGACAGACATCTGAGATACAGGTACAGACAGACATCTGTGATTTACAGGTACAGACAGACATCTGTGATATAGGTACAGACAGACATCTGTGATTTACAGGTACAGACAGACATCTGTGATATACAGGTACCACTGACATATAAGATTGACAGGTACAGACTGACATATATTGTGATATACAGGTACCACTGACATATAAGATTGACAGGTACAGACTGACATATATTGTGATATACAGGTACAGACTGACATATAATATATACAGGTACAGACTTACATATGTGATTTAAAGGTACAGACAGACATATAAGATTTACAAGTACAGACAGACATCTGTAAGTTACAGGTACAGACTGACATCTGTGATAAACAGGTACCACTGACATATAAGATTGACAGGTACAGACAGACATCTGTGATTTACAGGTACAGACAGACATCTGTGATTTACAGGTACAGACTGACATCTGTGATAAACAGGTACCACTGACATATAAGATTGACAGGTACAGACAGACATCTGTGATTTACAGGTACAGACAGACATCTGTGATTTACAGGTACAGACTGACATCTGTGATAAACAGGTACCACTGACATATAAGATTGACAGGTACAGACAGACATCTGTGATTTACAGGTACAGACAGACATCTGTGATTTACAGGTACAGACTGACATCTGTGATAAACAGGTACCACTGACATATAAGATTGACAGGTACAGACAGACATCTGTGATTTACAGGTACAGACAGACATCTGAGATTTACAAGTACAGACAGACATCTGTAATTTACAGTTACAGACAGACATCTGTGATATACAGGTACAGACAGACATCTGTGATTTAAAGGTACAGACAGACATATAAGATTTACAAGTACAGACAGACATATGTAATTTACAGGTACAGACAGACATCTGTGATATACAGGTACAGACAGACATCTGTGATTTAAAGGTACAGACAGACATATAAGATTTACAAGTACAGACAGACATATGTAATTTACAGGTACAGACAGACATCTGTGATATACAGGTACAGACAGACATCTGTGATTTAAAGGTACAGACAGACATATAAGATTTACAAGTACAGACAGACATATGTAATTTACAGGTACAGACAGACATCTGTGATATACAGGTACAGACAGACATCTGTGATTTACAGGTACAGACAGACATATGTGATTAAAAGGTACAGACAGACATATAAGATTGACAGGTACAGACAGACATCTGTAATTTAAAGGTACAGATAGACATCTGTGATATACAGATACTGACAGTCATCTGTGATATACAGGTACAGACAGACATCTGTGATATACAGGTACAGACAGACATCAGTGATAAACAGGTACCACTGACATATAGGATTGACAGGTACAGACAGACATCTGTGATATACAGGTACAGACAGACATCTGTGATAAACAGGTACCACTGACATATAAGATTGACAGGTACAGACAGACATCTGTGATATACAGGTACAGACAGACATCTGTGATAAACAGGTACCACTGACATATAAGATTTACAGGTACAGACAGACATCTGTGATTTACAGGTACAGACTTACATATGTGATATACAGGTTCAGACAGTCATCTTAGATTTACAGGTACAGACACACATCTGTGATATACAGGTACTGACAGACATCTGTGATATAATGGTACAGACAGACATCTGAGATATAGGTACAGACAGACATCTGTGATTTACAGGTACAGACTTACATATGTGATTTAAAGGTACAGACAGATATATACGATTTACAAGTACAGACAGACATCTGTAAGTTACAGGTACAGACAGACATCTGTGATATACAGGTACATACTAACATATAATATATACAGGTACAGACTGACATCTGTGATATAATGCTACAGACAGACATCTGTGATATAGGTACAGACAGACATCTGAGATATAGGTACAGACAGACATCTGTGATTTACAGGTACAGACAGACATCTGTGATATACAGGTACCACTGACATATAAGATTTACAGGTACAGACTGACATATAAATATACAGGTACAGACTGACATATGTGATTTAAAGGTACAGACAGACATGTAAGATTTACAAGCACAGACAGACATCTGTGATAAACAGGTACCACTGACATATAAGATTGACAGGTACAGACAGACATCTGTGATATACAGGTACAGACAGACATCTGTGATAAACAGGTACCACTGACATATAAGATTGACAGGTACAGACAGTCATCTGTGATTTACAAGTACAGACTAACATCTGAGATTTACAGGTACAGACGGGCATCTTTGATATACAGGTACAGACAGTCATCTTAGATTTACAGGTACAGACAGACATCTGTGATATACAGGTACAGACAGACATCTGAGATATAGGTACAAAAAGACATCTTTAATTTACAAGTTTGACAGGCTTTTACTCCAATCGGGAAATAAAGATACCAAGATAAATATCAGGACACTAGATTCTCCTGTTACAATCACAAACGCCCGTGTTATATCTGAAAATATCAGCCTGTTAAAAATTTGTAGATGGGCAGATGAACGGACAGCCAGATTATCGAGATAGGGTGTCAGTTTCTGTTATTTCAAGTCAGAAAAAGAAATACCTCTAAAATAGCAACCGGATAAGTAGGTAAGATATTATAATAAAAAGGATTTTTTGGAGTTTAAGTAATGTTTGGCAGCAGCTAGGTTTCTAAAGATACATTTGTATATACGACGCGTGTCACAGAGGTCAAATATCAGAGAATATATATGTATCATGCTATTACAATACATAAACACTCGTCACTGCAAAAGCTCCAAATATTGTCGAACCGCTTGCTTAAGTAAAAGATGACCGGCCATAACGGATTTGTTTAGATTCAAACTATATCTGACAGTATTGCAAAATCATTGTTTAAGTAAAACGTTCACATAAAACCTATAATCTCATTCAAATAATATATAGTGTACGGAAAGGTATAAAGACGTTCCCCTGTTTCTATAAATGTCACTCTTTTGAAACATGCTATTTTTCAATTTCGCTGTAATTTTAATACTACATATTGTATTACATATATTTTCACACGTATTTAAATGTCGACATTTTGCACAATCTGTTTTAGTATAATGCAAACATCAGCAAATTAGGAAACCTGACGTTATCATTTTGTTGACAAACCAAAGTCAATGTTTAGTTATAAATAATCGCACTATGTTAGCCGTTTAAGCTTGCTAACTAATATATTTAGATAAACTTGTGGTACTTTAGTTAGTTTGATGTATCACAAAGTATCAATATTTAAATACAATTTGTCTAGTAAAATGTTATATTATGTCGAAATATTAACATTCATAACAACAAATGTCAGTCGAGATAGTACCAACGGATTGAACTAGCTTGATACAGCACACTTATTAGGTTAGGACATGCTCACGGATCAAATAAATAAAAGTTATAAAGTAAACACTTGAGACCTTATTCTCTAATCTTTCACACACTGTACCAGATTAATAGTTTCATTGGTATATAACGACACGCGGTTATACGGTCCCGAGGTCATTCTAAGGATTGGACAGCTGGAGAAGGCTTCGATTTACTGGTACGTTTGAAATGTTTTCATATCTTTATATTCTTAATAATCCAGGATGTCCAAGGTCGATGAGTAAATAGCCAAATTCATTAGTATATATGTACAATGTACGAACCACAGTATCCTGGCTGATTAAGTTTCAGTGTTTGTAGAAGGCAGTGTGTCTGGACAATCCAAGTTTCACTCTTTGCAAAATGGAAGGGATCTCGTGTCTTTGTTCCGCTGTATATGTCTAAACGATGTTCTGCGTTGTATTCTTATGAAAATGTTTTGCAATTAACAAATACACTTTAACCAAAACGTTTTCTTCTCCCGTCTAGGTAAAAATCGAACGTTTGACACTACATGCCCATGTTAAAAAATCCCTGCACTTCCTTGCTTATACTTGTTACACTATAACACTACCACGGTGTCATAAAGACTACCGCTCTCGTTATTTACGGTTAATCTACTTCTTTCCAATCCGTCGATAAGCTCAATGTCATCATTTCATAAATCTTATTTGAGTCAGTCCAGCAGACGAATTTTCATCTGCGTTATTTTTTTATATAATGATTTGTTTTCGTCGGCAGACACACTGATCATGTCAAAGGTAGGTCTGACTTTTTAAAAATTTATTTAACACTATAATCATAAAACTCCAAAGGATACGATGTTTATGTATACATGTAACCAATTATAAAGTATTATTCCTAAAACAATCTTTAAGTATGAGCTACAATTGTCTAAACATATTTAAGAACAAGCCGGATAACTCTAATCTTCCATTGAAAAGACACCCTAAAGGACACAAACAATAACTATATTCAGATATTTATCTCGGCATCAGGTTCCTGTCTAAATTTTATAAGAAGAGATTCTGTTTAGGTGTTAAAAGACCCCGTCCATGGAGAGATCGAACTGCATCCATTATGTGTCAAAATAGTGGACACGCTGGAATTCCAACGATTGCGCTTCATTAAGCAGTTAGGATGTTGCTACTTCGTGTACCCAGGCGCTGCCCACAATCGGTTCGAACACTGCATCGGGTATGTATTCACACTAATATGTTAACTCACTAGGCAGAAAGTACCTTTGAGCTTGTAGTGCGGTGCAGCGTCCGTTTTCCGCCCATAACGATACAGATACACGTTTCTTCCTTTATCTGCCGTTTGAACAGATTGCTCTTCTGCCCAACAGCTTCCTTCCTGCTCAGGTGAATTTATATCCCTCTTGGGTAGTATTCACGGAATCAGACCCTAAATCGCTTACTAGTTTCCCCAATATACTTCGTGTCGCAGTATTTGCATACGACGCGTTCTGCAGGGTTTCTTAGGGTGTTTCATTCTGGTGTTGTGCGAGCATATTTTGAATCGTCTTGTGGGGCTTGATGGGCTCCAAAACATCCTAGAAGTTTCGGATAATTCTCTTAATTTAAGGCATGAACATCAGGCCTATCATTAACACCTTCTCCTGGATGGACATTTTTTATACTTAGACCTTCAGAAAATACTAAGACGTAACAAAACCAGTTTAGAGCAATGTTATTTCAATAGTATACATTTATATTAACCAGTAATGCAATTTGTTTCCCTAAAATATTGTGTTTCCGTCAAAGGTCAACTTTGAGTGCTGGCCGGGGTCCAAGGTTAACATTGGTTTTAATGGGTAAACAGCTTTAAAAATCTATTAGAGTCCCATAAGGACTAGGGTCCTGATATTTGGCCAGATACCTGACATAGAGTGATATAGCGTCTCCTCAAATAAATGACCCCGATGTACTTCTAAGATCAAGGGGTCAAATATTTTAAACTTCAAGCAAGATGTACAGACGAACTGGGAGTACATATACTAGAGTAATGCTACTTGGATATACTATGTAAGCCAGCATTATAAATCATTTTCTTTCACATTTCATTTTTCTTCAATTGCTGGCCATAGTAAAAGGTTAACAAGGACTGTAAGTAAAAGGCTTTAAGAATCACCTCCTTTTATCAGGCCAGTGATCATGGCTTGTTGACCATCGCCCAGTGCGAAGCGTTTCTTAGTCCCTCGGTCATAACTTTAAGATGGTTGATATTTCCATCATATTACCATATATAAACATAATTATGCTATCAGGATTAGCCTTGGTATCCGGCCCTGACCCTGAAAATTAAGATTCCGATCATTACATTTCAATAAGGCTCCGACCCTATTCACATACTCACGAATTAAACAAGATCCCCTATGAAGAATTATCCGGTCCAGGAATGGGACCAAAAATGAGGAAATATTTGTAGTACTTCCTTTTTACGTAATAAGAATATTTTGCCATGATTCTTCAAATATTCAATTGAGCGATGCAGGCCCTATGCGCCTCTTGTTCGAATGTTTCTGTCTATTTGCACATAAGCAATGAGTTTTTCCGATGTTTTGTATAACCGATCAATAGCTTCCTTGGTATTCTCCAATATCACGACTTCAAACACGGAATAAGGGAAATTTGATCCCTCCTTCATAATCTAGTTGTTAACATGTTTTCAAGAGAAAAACATCGGCCGCAATATATGTTTCCTGCTAATCCAGATAAAAATTACCGCCGTCTTTCAAGACATCAATAAGTTATATGTTTTAATATTCACTGTCGGGCTAATTTTATCTGCAAAGGAATAAAGCAAAAATGGTATTAGTTAGAAAATTGTATAATATAATACATGAATATCAAAACATGTTATATTTAACTGCTATCTGTAAAACTGCTAAAGATAATGGGTGTAGGCAAAAAAACTGCTATTACTATCCATTGGTTTCATCTCAACACCTTTTTTATCCGTTGTTTTAATAATTTTAGGATGCAGTTTAACATCACTATGCTATCAAATACATTTATATTATGACCTTATATCGCACATACCATTTTCTCCCAATGGGGAAGTCAAGTGATGCGTTTAGTGCATGTTTATTAAGATAGTTGTTTTCTCGTTCCAGTGCCGAGGAGTACAAAATAGGGAAAATTCAAATCTGCTTTGTTTTTTAAATTGGTGCAAAACCACTGATAAGCCCGGGGTTTCACCCTAAACCCATTGGGAGGAATTCCCTATTCTACATAACTGGACGTGAAAGAGTCTAATATTCTCTAATTCCTGAGTAGTGATTTAATATTCGAAATCAATCAGAAGTGTTCATTTCTCGATTCGTTAGATATTCTCCATTGTTTGTCGGTGTTATTGTATTACACTGTATGTACAGTAGTTATTCAAATATATTTTTAACATTATAAGTTTTGTATTTCGGTCAACAGTTGTAACTTAACAATAGTTGATGTGAATGACACACGTTTGGTAAATATAGTGTATATATGAAAAAAACACCGTAATCATCTGTTTCGTCGTCTGTGCAGAGTGTGCCACCTGGCGGGGAAACTGGCGCAAGCAATAAGGGATCGCCAACCAGATAAGATCAATGACAGACAATTGCTTTGTGTGAAAATCGCTGGACTTTGCCATGATTTGGGTAAAAATAAAGAATCAATCGCATTTTTATAAGATAGTCAATGTCATGTTTACTTCGAGTACCATATGTATGCATATTTAATGAAGCTATCCACTTTTAATTGGTTCCATTCAATACCCTAATAAAATGGTTTGAATACAACTTTAGTTGATACACGATTGTGCACAATCATATTGGCAAGTGTCAAGATAAGATGACGCCATAACAATCCGCGTATTTTTCACAAGGAACAATCACAATTAAACAATTCAAAAATTATTTCTTGTAGGTCAGATATTAATCAATCAAATGTTTAATTTTGTAATAAATATCTTTTACACATACGGCCCTCAACAGATTACAAAAACAAATTAATAATATCATAATTCCTCTACTCGTTTTGGTCTTTATTTTTCAGGTCATGGACCATTTTCGCACATGTTTGAACATTTTGTTAACAGTTTCAAAGGGAAAAATTGGAAGGTAATTATAATATAGAAAGCATATTTCCGAAAAGATGAATTGGTGAGGATTTTATAAGTATTCAATAAATTGCATGTATATTCACACTGTTTTGCCGCTAAAACTTAAAAATATAATAGAGAGAGTAATGATATAAGGCAGCATTATTGCACTTTGACATGATTTAAAACAATAAAGTATTTACAGCACATATTGAGGCAATGCTTATTTATATTTCGCCCATTCTTAAGTCTGATCAAAATAGCATTTCTCTGGTACAGCTTAGTCTGCCCGGGTCGTATTTTAACGCAAATCAAAATATAATAGCACCGTCGTGTATACCGTGCTGTCCATAATTGTTTAGAATAGGATATATTTTTATTTTTTTGGCATTTTTATTACTTTGTTTGTGTTCTAGTCTTATTTGCAGTTTAGGTTTAAAATTTGTTTCTTGACACCCTTTATATTTAAAAGTAGCAATGTTCAATTCCAGTTCTCAAATAATTGGTAACTAGTATTCTTTAACATCAGTTTTCAAACCCTTAACCCTTTGTGATTAAATTAGCAACACTGATCTCAAGAAAAGTTGCAATGCTCTCGTTAACCTTCTTACTGATTCTTGCCCATGAATATATTTCTTTTCAAAGCACGAAGAAGCCTCAAGAAAGCTAGTTGTCAGGATATACGGTCATCTGAAGAAAGAATTTAAGGTAATATTCGAGATGATTTCTTTTACAAGATGTAAATACATCAATATGTTAAAATAATTAGATTGTTTCTAGATATGTACTGATTGAAAATGAATGTCTGTTATCTGTGTGAAAATGTTTTTAATGTCAGCTGTAATTGAGCAAATAAGAAACCCCAGCAACATTGTTCACATATTCATTTCTTACATCGAACCTCGCCCTATGTCACCGAGTATGACACGACTCATTCATGAATTCAATCAAGCACTTGGCTAGCTTTGATCAAAATATACAAAAATAACTTACGCTAAATCTGCATTCAACCTTATAAACAGGGCGAATCTGTGTGCATTTGTATACCATCTTTTAATTATTTGTTTGCCAATAAGGAGCTAGGAGGGTTAGAGCAAGACGATATTGACTTCATAAAGGACCTTATAGATCCACCAGAAGGCCTTTATCAGGTAAATTAATCTGAACTATTACTAAACACTTCGTCTTATTTAGTTGAAATTGCATTAATCAACATGATATAGTTAAATGGATTTAAAAAGAGATTGCGTGCTGTAGCAGACCTGGTGAAGACTTGCACTGTGAACTAATAGAACACGGAACAAAAGGTTAAAACAATCAGTTCAAGTGAAACTAGCCGGAACTGGATTTTACAGCCTTGACAAATGCTATAGGTTTCCTAAATTCTATTTTCAAGTGTGTCTACTGTATTTGAGTTTCAATGCATTACAAAAAGACAGATGCGTCAATACTACATAATAATGCCTTTATTAACTGTGACCAATACATTCTAATTGAGAATTATCTCCATACAGAGAGCAAAAGATGGCAACGTTGAACAGAAGAAGGACTTTTTCCTGTACGAGGTTCGTATACAGTACTTAAGATCTGTAGGGGCAGAGCCAAATGACTTTCCATAGACGATAATGTTAACGATTACCACTGTCCTGGTTAAATGGGGTTATCCACACTGGTTCACCTGCCCTCATTTTGAAGAATGTCATCTCACAAACCTGTAAAAAAAAAACATTTTAAAATTCTACCAATTTGAACTTTTTTGTAAATGGGGGCCGCCATTTTGTATTGAATTCGGCACCAAAAATTGACCAAAATTTACAACAAATGACACACTTAATAAACTCTCCCAGACAAAAGCATACTTGAACATTTTTATTTTTTCAAACATTTTACATCTATACATATTGCGCAACCAACACATAAAACTTTTGAAACTACTGCCACCTAAATATCCAACCAGATGGCCCCGAGGCATTCACTTTCCTATCAAATCTTCTGCCCAAAAGGGAAAAACCCATAATTTATTTTTGATTTGGTTCCGTGGTCCCTGTAACACAACACGAGTGTAAAAGATTATCAATACCCAAACAAATTATTACAAGCTTTCATACCGTTTAGTAATTTATAGAAATTCTTGATTGTAACTTATTTTACACAACAGCTACTTTATATCTTATACACTGTAACAGCACAATGCGAAGAACAACAACACAAATGTTACCAACTTGCCGAATTACAACATAGACCTCACACAACCTGTAAACAGTAAATTCTTGAGATTTCAAGAATACTACAACATAAATCCAACCACAAAGAGAACAGTTAAACGGTAGAATTTATTTTTATTTTGTATTTTTGATAGATTGTTTCCAATGCTACTTACGGTGTTGACGTTGACAAGTGGGATTACTTCGCACGCGATAGTCTCCATCTGGGTGTTAAGACCAGTTTTGACCACGACAGATTGATAACATCGGCAAGGGCATGTACAGATGATGACGGTGTGACACACGTCGCCTACAGGGAGAAGGTAGGGCTTTAATTGAAGACAACACAATTAAACTCTCTGTATTATTTGCCTTGGAATCTCTCATCCAGGAGCAATATGCCGGGAGATTTTGTGCAGGTTAGTAGCACAAAGTTTCAACTATGGGCGATGATACATTTGAAACATATGGTCCACTCGGGTTGACCGCGTTGACAATCCTGACCCAGCCATACGGGCAGCCTTGATCCACATCGCCTTAGAGATTACCAACTCCCTTGCCCTGAACGACAGCATACACAAATAGGGAGAGATAGCGAAGAAGAAAAACTATTTTATACAAATAATGTTAAGTGTACTGATAGGACCCCTATTATCAAGTAAGTTATACCACAGATACACAGTCATGTTTTATCAAGTAAAACAACTCGATATTGACATAACTGTATGTGCACTACTTTAAGATAAAGGGCGATGATAATTCTGATTGCTATCCAAATTTGATATATATCATTCGTGCTCGATGCATGCACAATATGGTATTGTTTTAATGTTTTAGTTCCTGGCTGACAATATCTTTGTTCAGTTTGATGTTTACATGTCGCAGTTGATTCGGTACTCAACAGTTTGCTTGGAATAACATGAGCTCCGTGATAGATGTCGAAACTTATAAAAGATGCAGGTTGGTGAAAAATATGGACAAGTTTTAGGATCGTCATCATTCTTTCATACGGAAACATGTTATTTCTTTGTGTGATATGAAGGTCAATGGTTTTGATAATGCTAATTAGTGAGCCTTGTGGTTTGTTGTCACTAGACTACCCCAGTTCTCGATATAAGGACATGGCATTTCTTGAATATGACCTTATGGTGGGTGTCATCGATGAAGCAGAAGTTCTGTTGTTCTCTGTAGGACTCTCTAACCTGTCCTGAGCCGTTCTTCCCTGTTCTCTGTTGATCTCTGTAGGTCACTCTAACCTGTCCTGAACCGTTCTTCCCTGTTCTCTGTTGTTCTCTGTAGGACTCTCTAACCTGTCCTGAGCCGTTCTTCCCTGTTCTCTGTTGATCTCTGTAGGTCACTCTAACCTGTCCTGAACCGTTCTTCCCTGTTCTCTGTTGTTCTCTGTAGGACTCTCTAACCTGTCCTGAGCCGTTCTTCCCTGTTCTCTGTTGATCTCTGTAGGACTCTCTAACCTGTCCTGAGCCGTTCTTCCCTGTTCTCTGTTGTTCTCTGTAGGACTCTCTAACCTGTCCTGAGCCGTTCTTCCCTGTTCTCTGTTGATCTCTGTAGGACTCTCTAACCTGTCCTGAGCCGTTCTTCCCTGTTCTCTGTTGTTCTCTGTAGGACTCTCTAACCTGTCCTGAGCCGTTCTTCCCTGTTCTCTGTTGTTCTCTGTAGGACTCTCTAACCTGTCCTGAGCCGTTCTTCCCTGTTCTCTGTTGTTCTCTGTAGGACTCTCTAACCTGTCCTGAGCCGTTCTTCCCTGTTCTCTGTTGTTCTCTGTAGGACTCTCTAACCTGTCCTGAGCCGTTCTTCCCTGTTCTCTGTTGTTCTCTGTAGGACTCTCTAACCTGTCCTGAGCCGTTCTTCCCTGTTCTCTGTTGTTCTCTGTAGGACTCTCTAACCTGTCCTGAGCCGTTCTTCCCTGTTCTCTGTTGTTCTCTGTAGGACTCTCTAACCTGTCCTGAGCCGTTCTTCCCTGTTCTCTGTTGTTCTCTGTAGGACTCTCTAACCTGTCCTGAGCCGTTCTTCCCTGTTCTCTGTTGTTCTCTGTAGGACTCTCTAACCTGTCCTGAGCCGTTCTTCCCTGTTCTCTGTTGTTCTCTGTAGGACTCTCTAACCTGTCCTGAGCCGTTCTTCCCTGTTCTCTGTTGTTCTCTGTAGGACTCTCTAACCTGTCCTGAGCCGTTCTTCCCTGTTCTCTGTTGTTCTCTGTAGGACTCTCTAACCTGTCCTGAGCCGTTCTTCCCTGTTCTCTGTTGTTCTCTGTAGGACTCTCTAACCTGTCCTGAGCCGTTCTTCCCTGTTCTCTGTTGTTCTCTGTAGGACTCTCTAACCTGTCCTGAGCCGTTCTTCCCTGTTCTCTGTTGTTCTCTGTAGGACTCTCTAACCTGTCCTGAGCCGTTCTTCCCTGTTCTCTGTTGTTCTCTGTAGGACTCTCTAACCTGTCCTGAGCCGTTCTTCCCTGTTCTCTGTTGTTCTCTGTAGGACTCTCTAACCTGTCCTGAGCCGTTCTTCCCTGTTCTCTGTTGTTCTCTGTAGGACTCTCTAACCTGTCCTGAGCCGTTCTTCCCTGTTCTCTGTTGTTCTCTGTAGGACTCTCTAACCTGTCCTGAGCCGTTCTTCCCTGTTCTCTGTTGTTCTCTGTAGGACTCTCTAACCTGTCCTGAGCCGTTCTTCCCTGTTCTCTGTTGTTCTCTGTAGGACTCTCTAACCTGTCCTGAGCCGTTCTTCCCTGTTCTCTGTTGTTCTCTGTAGGACTCTCTAACCTGTCCTGAGCCGTTCTTCCCTGTTCTCTGTTGTTCTCTGTAGGACTCTCTAACCTGTCCTGAGCCGTTCTTCCCTGTTCTCTGTTGTTCTCTGTAGGACTCTCTAACCTGTCCTGAGCCGTTCTTCCCTGTTCTCTGTTGTTCTCTGTAGGACTCTCTAACCTGTCCTGAGCCGTTCTTCCCTGTTCTCTGTTGTTCTCTGTAGGACTCTCTAACCTGTCCTGAGCCGTTCTTCCCTGTTCTCTGTTGTTCTCTGTAGGACTCTCTAACCTGTCCTGAGCCGTTCTTCCCTGTTCTCTGTTGTTCTCTGTAGGACTCTCTAACCTGTCCTGAGCCGTTCTTCCCTGTTCTCTGTTGTTCTCTGTAGGACTCTCTAACCTGTCCTGAGCCGTTCTTCCCTGTTCTCTGTTGTTCTCTGTAGGACTCTCTAACCTGTCCTGAGCCGTTCTTCCCTGTTCTCTGTTGTTCTCTGTAGGACTCTCTAACCTGTCCTGAGCCGTTCTTCCCTGTTCTCTGTTGTTCTCTGTAGGACTCTCTAACCTGTCCTGAGCCGTTCTTCCCTGTTCTCTGTTGTTCTCTGTAGGACTCTCTAACCTGTCCTGAGCCGTTCTTCCCTGTTCTCTGTTGTTCTCTGTAGGACTCTCTAACCTGTCCTGAGCCGTTCTTCCCTGTTCTCTGTTGTTCTCTGTAGGACTCTCTAACCTGTCCTGAGCCGTTCTTCCCTGTTCTCTGTTGTTCTCTGTAGGACTCTCTAACCTGTCCTGAGCCGTTCTTCCCTGTTCTCTTTTGTTCTCTGTAGGAGTCTCTAACCTGTCCTGAGCCGTTCTTCCCTGTTCTCTGTTGATCTCTGTAGGACTCTCTAACCTGTCCTGAGCCGTTCTTCCCTGTTCTCTGTTGTTCTCTGTAGGACTCTCTAACCTGTCCTGAGCCGTTTTTCCCTGTTCTCTGTCGTTCTCTATAGGACTCTCTAACCTGTCCTGAGCCGTTCTTCCCTGTTCTCTGTCGTTCTCTGTAGGACTCTCTAACCTGTCCTGAGCCGTTCTTCCCTGTTCTCTGTCGTTCACTGTAGGACTCTCTAACCTGTCCTGAGCCGTTCTTCCCTGTTCTCTGTTGTTCTATGTAGGACTCTCTAACCTGTCCTGAACCATTCTTCCCTGTTCTCTATTGTTCTCTGCAGGACTCTCTAACCTGTCCTGAGCCGTTCTGAGTAGGCATAACTTGTGTCTCTTACAGCAACTCGATTTGTACAAACATACACACGTTTACAGTTTACCATTATATACCAACGTATATCGCCCCTAAGCTACAGGTAATTTTTTTAATCTCTGAGAAATTATCAAGCTCAATTCTCTTTAATACGTCGCTTCCCCCGAGTCATAAGATAATTTTTTATCTCTTAACATCTCATTAGAGTTTTTCAATAAACAATTCAGATCGGAACCTCCCATTACCCATTCTATTAATATACAATTACTGGCTATCTGGAAGTACTGGGGGTTTCAGTCAGATTTTTATTACCCGTTATCAAATAATTAACTCCATTGTAACACTGTTAAATGTATTTAGAGTATCACACAATGTAGCAGATATGCAGCATGTATGCTTTAATTATTTGTAAAATCAAATTCCATCAGAGAGTTGTGTTAATGAACTCACAGTACAGCAAGCATGTACATTATCGAATGTTTAAAAACAGTCATCATGACGTCACAAGTTACAATAAAATAAAAAAGCCGAAATGATGAAATTTGGTCAATCAAAATGAATCACTTTATCAACCTAGGTAAATAATAGCTAGGGTAACAAGAATTTGAAACTCATTTCGATTGTGAAAATTGTATGATGCATTGACGTAAGTTTCAAAAACACGTATAGACTGAATTTCTTTTGATATCCTCTTTGTGTTATTTATTAGTGACTTTAAATGTTTTCAAAGGTCCTCGACCACGTTTACGAGATGTTTCACATCCGGTACACGCTTCATCGAAAGGCTTATCAACATAAAGTAAACAAGGCAATAGAGCTGATGTAAGTACCAGTTTTAGAGTTTTAATAAACGTATGATCTGATATAAGTATCACTATACAGTTAACAGTAGATCTTATTGTACATATATTATCAACCGATTCCAGTAGCTGTTTGCAGTGAATAGAAAGTACCTTTCTGATTGGTCAAGGTTAACTTATTGTGTATCTTGATATTATTTTTCTGCTTTCTATAATAAGGGTGTCTTAAATTGGTACAGTATGAGGTATGAAAGTGTAAAAAGTCGGAAAGTCAAAGGTTTTTACAGAAGAAACAGTTGTAAGATGTTATAGATTAATATCAAAATCTTCTGTTTCGGAATACTCACGAGGAGGGTCCATATCCTAATGACGCATGGGTATTCGGAAAATGTTTTAAAACTGAATCGTGTTTGGATAGTTTTTCTTTTCGAAATATTGGAAAATGTATAGGTTTGGTTCCCTCGGTAATCAAGACTAGTTCTTTCTGCACGCAGATAATATGATAGTATTTGCAGACAAATATTAAGATATATAAAATGTTTTATTTTCTATGACCACAATTCCATACTTATTATACAGAACGTTTATTGTGGATCAGAGACTTTTGTTTAGATTTGATTTTGATTTTCAAGCAACCAATTCTTTTTCAGAATATATAACAGGCTTGATATATCTAACTAGCTCTAAAAGTGATTCCAATTCAGCATGCTATCGTTTTGCCCATAGATTCGTGTAGTCTTCCGCAGAATACATTGGACTGTAAGTTTAACTTATTCACCCCTGAAATGCCATAATGAACTGAGTTTAAATTAGCTAATATATTAAGCACGCCAAAAATAATTCACATTCCAGATGACTTGATATAGGGAATCGATACTAAAGTTCCCGTATGAAAGACCTTGGTAGTTGTGCATTATGGATAGAATTTAGATGACCAGCAACATGTACTATATGTCCAGCTGGACCATAATTGTACGGGACTGTCTAATAGGAACATGCTGAAGGAGGAGTTTCTCTAAGGTCATCCTCAACAGTTTTATGACGTCTCGAAGCTAGTTTCAAAATACCACCGAGAACAGTTATGAAAGAATTCCCTTGTAAATTTCACAAAACAGAAGAAGGGAAAATAAAATAGTTCGAAAATGGTAGACACCCAGTGGTTCCTCATGAGTTTCCATAACGTTTCAAAACGTATCATTGTATTTGATTTTTGTCTTTTGTAACTTTATGTCCATGTCTATGTTTGAATCACAGAGATCAAAGGTCATGATCACAAACATGGCGTTCAACATCAAGTCCAAAACTGATAAAACCCAGAGATTCCATATCACGGAGGTCAAGGGGTCAAAAATGTTGTAGAACATGTTTTACATAAACCACATTTGCTTGTGAAGTTTTGTGACCTTCAATTCAGTACTTAGTCGATAACTGACCTAAATGCGAGATTTAACCGGCCGGGCGTATGGTCATCGATTGTATGCCTCTCGTTTTACTTACTACCTCATCTGATGCAATCGCATTTCAATACCCTTTTTGTATCTTTTAAAAAAAATAATCTTCGTACGTCTCAATTGATAGATCAGCAAATCTTTTATAAATGGCCAACTTATTCTGGGAAATCAGTGGCAGTACAGCCCGGTGCTTCAGTATTTCATTTATTCTCATATATTGTTGTCGATTTTTATGTTTTGACAGGATTTCCGACGCAATGGGAAAAGCAAATTTTGTCGTCGGAGTCGATGGATATGGGTAAAACAGCTAAACATAATATTCCGTTCTTTGTCATTTTTGATATTCACATAATCTAACAAAACCTGGGCTTTATCATTTGACCTTTCCTTATTGATAAAATCTATTAAAATCCGTGCATCATTACCTGACTTCTCCTAATGATATAATAGATTATAACCATGCTTTGTTACCTCACCTTTCCTATTCATATAATCCATTTAAGCCCATGCTTTATCACTTAATCTTTCTTATTGTTATAATTTACACAAACAAAAAATGCTTACACAAAGAAACCTTATTTTAATAAAACAATGTGGTATTGTATCTTTCAATTAATTATTTTTAGAAATTTTGTCTGTATTCTTTTAAATGAAAGAAATCGCACTTCTATTTTTCAGATGCATGTTTTTTGCTAAAACAAATCTTTTAGTGAATAAAGCATAGTGAAATTTAAATAAATTATTTCATATATTGAAAAAAATTTAGGAAAAAATAGTCTGCCATCTTTATTGGCGTAAATGTTATTATACAAACAGTTTAAGGCCACATTTTAAAACATTCGACCCTGTATTTTAGCATTTAATGATTTGGAAATCAGACACGATCCGTAAATGCGTTCTCAAATACTTCCCTACAATACACAAACATGCACTTATTTTTACTGGAGCAAATTTAATGTTTTGATATCTACACAATTGTTTTTACTTTCGGTGTATCATCTGCGAATCTGCAGGTACAGCATGTTTCTATGCAAGCAAGACCATATTTGTATTGCCATAAACGATGTTATTTATAGTGGGAATGTATACTAAACATATTTCTTTAGACTTTCACTATTGACTATAGTAAATAGAAAAATAAAAAATAAAAGGGCAAGTCTTCGGTGGAGATTTAATACAGAAAACTAGGACACCCAGCCTCTTTTTCGAAACTGTAAAACAAATAATTTTATCGGTTTTTTTATTCGGGGGGGGGGGGGGGGGGGGGAGGTATAGAACTCCAAATGGGTTATACATAATAAAGGTAAGTCTCTTTTTGTTAGAAATCTACAAAATCTATTTTTAACATTCAAATAATAAGGTTAATAAACATATATATCACTATCAACTTTCGTATCAAATAATAACAGTTCAAGTGTGAGATATTATTTAAACATGTCTATCTGGTGACTTGATCATTTTGGTTTTAAAGGAAAGAAATAACTTTGTCAGAAGCTGTTGATGACTTGGATGCCTTCCGGAAACTCACTGATCAATTTGTACTGGACAAAATATCAGAATTCTCAAAGGAAGCTCGTGAGCTCGTTGACAGAATTTATAAAAGGAAATTGTATAGATTTGTTGGAGAGAAGCGTATTGAGGTAAAATACATATGTATATCATTTCTCGGCCATATCACTCATTTACGGTAATGTTATTACATCTGACATGTGTCTTCTTTCATTAATAAAAAATACGTAAATTAAGCTTGATAAAAAACACAATTATCAGATTGGATGCATAATAAGTCCTCAATGGAATACACCGACAGAACTATTCCGTGTCTGATTTCTCGCGCAAAGCAGACAAAACACAACTCCTTCATACACTCATGCATGTCACCAACAATGGTAAGGTGCCATAGGACTATAACATCTGATGCAACTTAATATTTTATAGATGTATGCCAGTATTAGACGAAAAGAACAGGCAAACGAAACATTTGAGGATTTACTATTAACATAATGACAGTCGGTATGTAATATACATAGAAGTCACATATATCCACCGAAGTCATCTGTTTCATATTTGCATACTAATTGGTTCAGTTACAGGAGCTTAACGATGAAGAGACCGTCACACAACAAGAAAAGGTAAGATATTTTCCTTTTTAATGTTGTTAACATGAGAAGATAAAACTCTGAAGAGACATTCGTAATAAACCCATACCTCTGTCAATTTTGTTTGGTTATTTCTGTATATCTGGTTCATACCCATACATCTGTCAATTTAGTTTGGTTATTACTTTATATCTGGTTCATACCCATACATCTGTCAATTTGGTTTGGTTATTTCAGTATATCTGGTTCATGCCCATACATATTCTCAACACAGCTTGGTTACTCTGATCTTTTACGACAAAACATTTTGTTTATGTTAATGTATTAAGCTTAGTGTTATAAATACATTAGGTGATACATTTGGAATGCAATTATTATACGTGCTTAAGTCAATGAATTTCGTTCTTAGAAACATAATTATATCAATGGTCAATGAATTAAGCTTGGGCATGTGTCTATTTCACAGCAGTTTATGTATTGATATACATGTATATTCTTTTCCTTAGACGATTCAGACGGAAGAACAATTGAGGGACGAGCTTGTAGGAGAAAAAGAGGGGATCAAAAAACACATCAAAGTTCAAGTACGTTAATCCTTTGTCTTCATCCGGTATGTACGTTTTTCGAAAAACATACCTACAATTGACCACTATAGGTTTCTTTACTCAACACTCAAAAAATAAATCTTGCTGAGATTTGAGACATAGTTTTGGTTACCCAGTAGTGGCTGACACCCTGGGCGTGATTCCATTGGTCAATCTTTCAATTGTTACGTTTGTTACGTATAATATGAGTGTTATAGGATAAAAAGTTGCCCAAACACGTGGTGGTTAGTTTTCATGTTTATCAGACTCTCATTATTTATTTGAAAAGTAGCTGCTCTAGTTAGATAGCCATGATAACCAGCCATCACTCGTCAGCCATCACTCGTTGGGAAACCTCTATACATATAATGGAGTCACCAGAGAGTTTTTAAAACTTAAAGAACAGGTTTGTATACTGGAAGGTTGTACGCGAAAACGAAAAGCGTGTTATTGTCGTATTATTTAATATCGTAGATAATAAATATACACGTGTTCAATTCTGATATCAATCATTTTTTGCAACAAAAAAGATTTTTGTCAGTATACTGTAATATCCGAAACTTGGCAGTGAGACAGGCATCCTTTATGCAAATCCGGGAAACAAATCCGATCAATTGAAATATAGTATATGCCAAAGATTTGAGTAAAACGGTATTTTGAAAAAATAGTTATGGATAAAACTATTAATCATTACTAATTAATTGTATCATTTGTTGCCTTATATAAATATTACCAGGAGTCAAGGCCTGAGCTTATGTAGTAATACCAAAGTGTCGGTAACATGTTGGTAAAGTTTTGATATTATTCATATATTGCACAGTATCACTTATATATGGCCAAATGGCAGGCTAACTGTTTTCCTATGGGTTTTGTTTTATAGATTGCATACTTCGATTACGGAGCTAAGGATAAAAATCCGGTTGATAAAGCCTACTTTTATACTAAAAATGAACCTGATATAGCAAAACACCCGGACAAGGTAAGATATCATCCTTTTATTGTTGTTTACATGAGTAAATTAAACCCTTAATGGGATTTTCAAAACATTACAAGCAGACGTCATTCGCAATACGAGAAGATGTTCGTAAATATAGGATGTTACATGAGTTTCTCTGTCATATTTCAATAGTTTGGTATAACACGAACCTTTAAAAATATTGAACGAGTTCAATAACCTCAAAATGACATGGACACGAATGTAAGATTCTACTTATCACATAGCTTTCATGATTAGAAGAAGAAAAAACTTCCAATACAATTATGTGGTATCAACTGAATCTATGCTTGTCAAAACCAATGTACTCCGGTCAAAGTATTGTCGTTCCGTGCAGTGCAAAATAAATCCAGATTTCAAAACAAAATTATATACAGTTTTTAATGCAATGAAAATAATAGTGACAATATAAAATTTTCAAATTAGTTTAATAGCAAAAACATTAAAACTTATCAGAAAAAATGCTGTTAAAGAAAAGTAATACATGTAGTGAGGTAACGGTTTTGACCAATCGCAGCACCTTTAAGTTTTATTACACGTGTGTTTTTCCATATTTATGACATCGCCGTATGACATAGTAAAATGTGTCTGTTATGTGGTAAAGAATCTTATGCATACACTTCTAAAACAAGTTCCCCCTCCCTGTGTCTGTCTCTGTCCCACTTCCCTTCTCTCCCTTTTTCTCTCAACTATATAATTGTAATGTATCTTTCAGCTATAAGACAATATAATTTTATATACTTTTAGGCATTAAAGTTGTATACTTTATATATAGCTATATATAATTGTATATGTTCTATGTTACAAGTTTTAATGCCCCCCTCCACACACACATACACCCTCCCTACTAGTTTAGGTTTTGGGTAATATATTCACGTTCCTGTTTTTATTGGAGGATGTCCAGAGTGATTGCCTCATGATGAAACCCAAATACATTCGCGTACGGATCGCTAGAGTGTTTTGCACCGAGGAGGCCTATGTGGATAAAGTTAAAGCGTTGGTGGATGCATGGAATCCTTAATAAAAGGGAAACCCTCTAAATCAGACCGATACATAGAGAGCTACGTGTAAAATACACCTAGAAGCTAAATGTTTAGCCAAGAATGAAATATGTGCATTTCAATGTCGAACTAATTTGTGTATTTGGAACAATTCATTATAAGGCCATTCGTAAGTTTGGTGTAATTTAAGCATAAACTTATTTTGGGTGACGTACCATTTGCCAATATTTGTGTAATTTAACTTTTGCAACAATTCTTTGTAATCAAGCTTTTTGCGATTTTGGTGTAATTTAGCTATTTGCTAATTTTATAAAATGTATTTATCAGTGAATATTGTGTAAGTTAACTATTAACTAAAAGTGTTTAATTTATCAAAAAACATCTTTTTGTGTAATTCAACCATTAGCTAACTTTTTTATTTAACCATTGGTCTATATATGTGAATTCAACTATGCGACAATTTTTTGTAATTTAGCTTTATGCAATTTTTGTTTAATTTAGTTATTTGCTAATTTTATTTAATTGATTTATCAGCGATTATTGTGTTGTTCATTAATTAACTTATATTGTTTAATTTATCAATTAGCATATTTTGTGTAATTAAACTTTTAGCTAACTTTTTGTATTTAAAAAAAAAAAGATTTGCCTACATTTATGTTATTTAACTTTGCACTTAATTTGCATAATTCATCTATTTGCTAGTTTTGTGAAATTTAGCTATTTGCTTATTTGATGTAACTTATTTATCAGCTAATATTGTGTTATTTAACTATAAACTATTATAATTTAACATGAGCTATTGTTTGTGTAATTTAACTATTAGCTTGTATTTACGTACTTTAACAATTAACTAACTTTGTGTCTTTTTACTAGTTGCCTTTATTGTGTAAATTAACTATGCGCTAATATTATGATATTTATCTATTTGCAATTTCTGTATAATTTAACTATTAGCTAATATTGTGAATTTAAATATAAGCTAGCTTTGTGTAGTTGAACTAATGGCTTACTTTGTATCTTTTAACTATTTGCCTATATATATGTAATTTAACCATGCGCTAATTATGTGTAATTCAGTTATTTGCTATTTTTTTGTAATTTAACTATTAGCTTATATTTTGTAATTTATCTAGTAGCTGATATTACTTAGTTTAACTTCAAAACTATTTTTTGTATTTTAAATTATTAGCTTAGTTTGTGTGCTTTTACTATCAGGCAGTTTTGTGTAATTCACTATTAATGATTTTTCTGTAATTAAGCTATTTTTATTTGTTTTATTTGGAGCACATATGTGTCATAGGGCTCTACTGTAAGACGGCCAATTCTGAGTATTCTTTCCCAATCCCTTTCAAATTAAAAATACGATGATAAAGTCAAATAACAGTGTTTGTACTTTTCTCAAATACATTTATATTATAAGAGGAACAGCGTACTTATACATTTAAATATATATATATATTAATAAATGTAATTAAAAAAGTTGTGACGTGGAGGTTCACCATACCCTAAACGTTTAAAAGTTACAACTGAAATGTTTGCACTTATTTGACATTTGACCTTGAGATCAATGTCACACTGACCTTATCACAGTGCATTGCGTGTTATTTGTGGGTGATAAAGATATACTGCAAGATTCATTAAGATATCTTAAATGGTTTAAAAGTTTCGTACCAGAGTAAATGTTCTTGAAAAGTCACGGACACTGCCATTTGATGACGTTTCACTACACATCTGAGGGTGATGCAGGTAAATTGAAATTTTCTCCATGATATACGCTTTAAAAGTTACAGCCCGGTCAAGATGTTCCTGAAAGTTTGCAAGTATTTTACCTTTAACCTTGTGATCAAGGTCATAGTGACCTATTGACGATGCACTATATATCACCTGTGGGTGAATATTTAATGTTTTAAAAGTAACAGCCCATACTTTATGTTCCTGATGATTTTTTTTCACTTTTAATTGTTTGACCTTGAAGCCAAAGTCACAGCAACAGTGAACTGTACTGCACACAATATGTGGGTGATGCAGGAACAGTGTAAATCATTTAGACATCTTCGACGGTTTAAAAGTTAAGGCATGAACAAGATTTTCATGAAAAATATGCACTTGTTTGACCTTTGACCTTGAGGTCAAGATCACAATGAACTAATGACAGTTCACATCGTCTATGGGTGATGCAGGTATACTGCAAGTTTCATCAAGATACCTTTAACGATTAAAATGTTGCGGCCCGAACAGGAAATTATTAAAAGAACTAGAAAAACCAGTACTGAAACAATATGTCTCCCATAATTTCGAAAGGGAGACATAATTATCCATTCCAGCCACAAACTGTAAATAGGAAACGTTATAAAGTGTTTCACAGGTACTTTTTCACTGTATTTTTACATTTATTTTCCAATACGCATTTGTACATAAGGCCAATAGCTTGATCTTTGGAAATATTACTACTTGTCAGGTGACCACCTATTTAATAGTTTCACCTGGAAATAATAGCATGCCACCTGTACCTTACCTTATCTTACCTGTATTAGACGTATGCAGGTAAAGTGAATTCGTTTATACTTACGCTTACACATTCCAAGTCACTACAGGTAAATGCCTAAAAATTATTTAAAGTGTAAATTACAATGACAAAAACTGGACACACATGATGCTCTTATATAAAGCTGATGTTTCAGAGTAATGCTAATGATGCGAAGGTATGTGATTACATAGCGTTGTTACTAAACATAACTCTTTTCTGAAAATATTAAAGATTATACCCTTCCATAATTACAATTGTTAGTACGCCTGTTTTAAAAAACAATGAAAATTAATATTTTTTAAACTAAAATCGAGTCGTTTTTACTGCAAAGAATGAGTTTTGTTTTCAATTCAAAGATGTCTCGAAGTATACGAGTTACTTCCCTTTATGTGTCCACGAATTCAGGTCTTAAAACCGAACTAATTATATACATTACATCAAAATCATTTAAATAAATACAGTGAAAGATGTCAATCGTGTAACAGACATGGAATCGCACGCGCAAGTAACATGTTCATAATGATTCAGCAACTAATTTCAATAGACGAAATAAAGGGGAGATACACAGTTCAGGACGGGAAACCTAAGAGGCTTTGCTGCTAATTGCTGCTATTAATGAAGAAGGAATGGGGCCGACTTCAGTCGATCTGAAGAAAACCTTATTCCCATTAATGATTCGGCACAGATACCATACTTTGGACTATTTTAGATGTGGTTATATTTTGGTTTATTTGGCCCTTGGAGTGAATGAGGCAAAATCAAACCCACCAAAAATGTCCCAAAGCCAGAATACTAGAATATTGTCGCAACAAAGGAAAGAAACAGGACTGGCACATGTTTCACCGCCTCAGGAAAGATATCCAGACTGCATTTAAGAATTCCTACAATGAACAAATTCCATACATGCTTGGTGAAGACCATACCACCTACCAGAAGACGTGTTGGGGATTCATCAAAAGCGAAACATTAGGGTCTCACCATTAAGGCAGGATGGAATACTATATAGCGATAGTACCAGCAAGGCTAACACCCTCATCCGACAGTTCACATCAGACTTAACAAGGGAGGATTTGAGTTATGTACCCAATAAAGGTGTTAGTCCCTATCCAGATCTACCAGAGATCGCCATTCATCCTCCCGGAGTGATAGAGTTTCTGAAGAATATCAACATCCACAGAGCCACTGGCCCTGATGCTATCCCATGACAGCTCCTGGAGGAACTAGCAGAGGAGGTGACACCATCCTAACATTGATATTCAAGGCATCATAATACCAAGAACGGATACCAGTGGTCCGAAAATCAGCCTTCAGGGTGAACCAATGTCCTGGAGACGAGAACAGTTTTGTTGGCACTGCAACCACAGGTTGTTTGTGTGTCCACTGGCAACTTAAGAAGACTGGCAAGAACCCACAAACAAGACGAAGGAAATACTACCAAGCTTCCATGTATAATAGCAGAAAATCTTATAGTTGTTTCTTCGTATGTTGTAGGTGTTTTCGCCAATCGCCATGCAGGTCAATCATCTGTCAAACAGAATTAATGTTGTAACCGATACCCTCTGCAGACGTCGTCAACCAGTGTTAACATTATGGCAACAGGGAAAGTGAGAGCATTTTATGTATTGGCCCGCTTAGCTTTCCGTTTGGATGTATCTGTAGAAGGAAGCTCAGTGGGTAAGAGCGATAGTAGAACAATCTAGAAATTTTACACTCAAAATTGTTGTATATAACAAGTTATGGGGGTTCTTTTCAGAACAGATTTATCAAAGCTATAGTCATGCCGGAATAAAAAGGTTTTCAGCACTTAGTTATCTTGTTGGGAATGTACGGGGTGGCATGTAACTGCAAGGTAAATTTGTGAATCTTCCCTAATTACTTGAATGTAAATTATTCTTAAGGAGGCTCCACTCTTTCGCAATTAACCAGCAGAATTCAATGAAAGTTTCACATAATGGTTATGTCACTATGTAGAGGTGATTTTATGAAAATCTAATCATTCCGATAAACTGGGGATTTTTTTGTAAAAAATACCGAAAAAATGATTTTTCTCAAATTCAACACTTTCATATTTTTTGAGCGTGTGGCATTGTTCAATACCATTACAACAATATTAATGAAAAGAAACATTGCAAAACAACACTACAAATATTTTATTTATCATCAAATATCAACAACATGTTACAAAAGGCGTTTTTTTTATTGAAATTGTATGGATAAAAGTTACTAAATACAAAGTCTTTATAATTCATTTATTTTACATTTTACAATAATTTTGATCCTGATGAGAGTTGTCTACCTTGAAAAAAAATCATAACTTTTTGCAGAGGGATAGAATTTTTACAATGACACTTATTTTCTTTACTAATTGCTATACCAAAAACGACGGAAATAAATTAAATTACTATATTTAATTGTCAATTTACTGTTATTTTATGGAACAAAATTACTCTCAATCATGTACACTTTGGACATCATTCCATAGCCCGCCTATGCATGATATATTTACATGTCGGGTACATAGGTAACCATAGGCTATCGCATGGTATGCCGTTATCACGTGCACGCACATGCACATGCAATTGATAGGGATTTTGATATTTTACAAACCACTACTTTCACAGAGTTATTGTAATTGCATTTGCGAAACGATTTATCTGACAGCGCGTAACTCGCTCGACAACAAATGTCGTAGCGACCAAGAGCTTGTGAACTACTGTTAGCACGTGATACGTACAGGGTCGGTAATCAAAACACATCAGTCTGCATTCCATCCGCCTTCATATACGACCTTCTTGAAGTCGTCTGATCTTATGTCAGTGTCTTCCTATGAGTTAATTAATGTCTTTGTATCATGAGCTTTATTTCTGAAGTACGTGTGATTACACATTTCCAAGTTAAGTCTCGATATCGGGTGCTGACATATCATCGTCACGCACGTGTACTATTGTTTACACGGTGTTACTATAATTTACACTACGGTAATAGAATACCCGGTACGCAATACGGAAATGACGACACGAAAATACGACAAGAAAAAAATGTGTATGACGAAAGGTGGATAGTCCTTATACATTTGTTCTTAAGTTTGAAAGTGTATTTCTATTTTTTTTTAATTTAATTTATCATGTACGATATTGACGAATCTGGTTTCTGGTGTCCTGGCATCACAGTGCAGAATCGAATTGCAACTTTAGGGAATTTATTGGTTGTGTTTGCCATTAAGATATTAGATTGTATCACTTTGATAAAACACTTCATTCAAAGCCGCAGTTTTTCTGTTCAGGTACAAGTGAAGCGACTATAGAGTATATGGTTGTTTTAATACATCTTTGCTAAGGTATTTACTAAGTTACACAATAGACAATACAGACAATAGCAGAGACGGAAGTATTGTGTTGAGAAACTCATTCACAAGGGCTCGCTGCATTGTTGTTATACTTTTTGATGCAACATTTGCTTCGTTTTATGGACTTTTTAAAACAATTTAATAAACAGCTTTCATATTCTGTTGTTTTCTTTTTCTTTTTGTCGTGAAACACCATGAATTTCCGTTGTATTTGTTACATAACCAAATGCTGAGAATCTGTAGCGTTATGAGGTGTTTATAGATACTGTTCCCCTCTCGATGTATTCTTAATTTGTTTGGACTATTTAATGCCATAAATGTAGCCCCTTCCATTGGTTATGAAAGCAAGCTTGAGTCTGCTGGTACTTTGACTGGGTTTATTTTAACTTGTATCCAGTCTTCTATATTAGTGATAAACAGAATTGATAGTGATTATTAACCGTATATCGTATACCCTGTATGTAAGCTTAAAATGTGGATGTCCATGTTTATATTTAAAGAAATA